TTTCCTTCGCCAGACTCAGCCCCTCCCGTCTCCTGACCTGGGAACCTGGTGAGCTCCGGGCCTCTGTGCACCCCACGCCTGCACACGCCCTGGGGCTCAGCACACCATCCTCCATGCACACCCTCCTTTTCACACCCACCCTCTTCATACACACACGCACCCTGGACTGGCAGCCTCAAGGAGGCTGGGACTGCAAACACCCTGGGCTGCGAACATCAGGCTGTTTCACCTCGGGCTTCCACAGCTCTCCCTGAACACAAGTCCATCTGTCCCACCATCCATGTGCACCCCACCTGAGTGTTTCACACACCTCAGGCTCCATGCGTTCCAGAGTTCTGCACTATCCCCTAAGCCTGCCACTCCAACAGGTGACACCACCCAGGTGCCCAGAGCCCTCAGATGGGTCTTTCTGGCTCTTTTCCTTTCTAATAAGTGTCACCCAATCCATCAGCACAGTTGTCACCTCCACCACTAGAGACCCCTGAAACCTGGCGCCTGGTCCAAGCTACCGGCGTGTCTCATTCAAGCACCACAAGCTCCTCACTCCCTCTGCCTCCACACCCGCCCTGCAGTTTCAGAAGCAGGTCTTTTTAAAAGCCAAGTCAAATAAAGAAGTAAATAAATAAATGCCAAGTCAAATGGTCTCCTTCCTGCTTCCCCTCACACACCCACCTTCTGCTCGCACTTCCTAAGAACACACAGCCTGCCAGTGCAGCCCCTTCCTCAGTTCTGTGTTCCCGCCACACACAGAGCCCAGCCTGCCCCAGCTCATGTCTCTGCTCAGGGTCTGGGACACCCGCAGGTCCTCATCTCCCGAGCTTTCTGTCCAAATGCCCTGCCTCCTGCCCCATCCCTGCTTCTCTTTGTCTTTTTCTTTCAAAAGACTCATGGAGGCGGGGGATTTAGCTCCGTGGTTCCGCCGCCTGCTTTGCAAGTGCAAGGTCCTGAGTTCAGTCCCCAGCACCAAAAAAAAAAAAAGACTCATCAATGACTAACATGAATGTGTGGCTCTCCTTTTCCTTTATGATCTCGAATCTCTGGCAGGACAAGAAAAGTAGCTCTAACAGGCAGTTTCAGTCTGCAGACCTAGTGGAAACACCCGCAGCTGGCCGGGTAAGCCCTCCAGCTCTGCCCAGCAAGGCGGACAGTCCTCCTGCCCCTGTCCACTGTCACTAGAAAGCGGTGCTCTGGAGCGAGGCCCGTGTCCTGCAGGGCGACACCTACAGGGCCGCAGAGCACCAGGTTTGCTGATCACTCGACTCACGAACATTCACCCCACCGCAACATGGCACAGGCTCCCCGGGCGGCCTCACAGAAGGTTCCTTCTTGGCTTTAGCTTTACTGTCGCAAGAGCTATGCTCTTTTTTCAGAGGAAAAGGCTATTTTCACTGGTTCTACAATCTATTCTTCCTAACATGAAATTGCACAATGAAAACAGGTATTAATCCTAATTTGTGATGCTGCAGAGTTCTCAAACTCTGAGATTAAAATGTACTATCAGTTTCGGGGCCAGGGATTTAGCTCAGTGGTTTCGCCGCCTGCTGCGCAAGTGCAAGGACCTGAGTTCCATCCCTGGTACGAAAAAAAAAGCTCTCAGTTCCGCAAAAATTATCATATTCTTACCCAGGCTGTTTTTTTGGGTCCTATAGTGATTTGAGAGTGACTTTAAGGGTCCATACATGTCCAACAAATGTGGTGGTTCCACACTCTGCACCACACACACAGTCCGGCATCTGTGCAGCTCTGGGTACTGGACACGCCCACATGCCAACCCACTCAATCCCAAAGGAGTCACCACCTGGCGAGCAGGCAGGAAGACAGAGCCTACCAAGCTATTGGCAGCTCAATGCTTGCTGTCTCAAAGTCTGCAGGTCTCTGTTAATAAAATGTCTTAAAGATCAGACCAGGGCTGGGAGTGTAGCTCAGTGGGAGAGCACTTGCTTATTAGCATTGGGGGTTCTAAGCCCACCACTGCAAACAAATAAAAACTCACACACAGGGGCTGGGGATTTAGCTCAGTGGTTTTGCCGCCTGCTGAGCAAGTGCAAGGACCCAAGTTTGATGTCCAGTACCAAAAAATAAAAACCTTACACACAAAGAACCTGACAGCACAAGCTCACCGACAGTCACAGATGCAAATATCCTGAGTAATCAGAAACAGAGATGACACAACTATCTGCTCTGAAAACCCCAAGAATCAGCAGAACCATGAACTACTGGATTAGGACTGAGCAGCAAGGCTGTAGTTAAGATAAAATTACAGGGCCGAGGATTTAGCTCAGTGGTTCCCCTGCTTGCCTTGCAAGCACAAGGACCGGAGTTCGATCCCTGGTACCAAAAAAAAAAAAAAAAAATACAATTACAAAAATCAATAGGACCAACAAGGCTCATTAAAAACAATGAGGGATGTTTATAGTGGCACAGTTTATGATAGCTAAAACTTGAAAACAGCCCAATTGCCCATCAACTGAAGACTGGATAAAGATGTGGGTTTTTTTTTTTTTAATGGAGTACTGGGCCGGGGATTTAGCTCAATGGTGCCACCCTGCCTCGCAAGCACAAGGACCTGAGTTTGATCCCTGGTATAAAATAAATAAATAAATAAAATGGATTACTACTCAGCCATACAGAACAAAAAACTAGAGACATTTATAGCTAAAGAGATGCACATTGAGGCGATACTCTTAAGTGAAATAAATAGGACACACATGTGTAAATACTGAATAGTTTCTCTGGTGTGAAAAACTAAAAAGTGTAAATAAAGACTGAAATGTATAATTTATAACTAAAATAGGAAGAAAAGGTCTAAAGGAGTAGGGGAAGTGGGAAGGGTAGGGGAAAGGAAGAAGGGGAAAGGAAAAAACATGAGAAAAGGAAAAAATGGAAACAAAGTCTTTGTAAATAGGGAAGGATGGAGGGGGTGGAGGGCAGACAAATGGGGAAAAAATAACCAAGATACATCATGTACAGGTCCAAGATCCCAATGATGAATGTAATTGTATTGTATATCTAAAATGTACCAATAAAGTTAATCAAAAAAAATGAGGGAAAAACATAGCATTCCCAAAAAACTGGAAACCAGGTAAGCTATGGAGTCATCTCCCAGGCCAGCAGGCATCCCAGCACTTGCACGTGCTCCAGGGAAGACAGGGAGGCACCTGCAACTTGGAATCGAGATGTCCCATCGTGCTAAACTACCTAGGTTTAACACACACCCATTAAATCCTGAGAAAAGAGTTTGCTCACTTTGTGGGAGGTGCAATTTTTTGAGCGATGAAGTGACTATTAAAATTCATCTGGAAGAATAAGCAAATGAAAACCAGCTTAAAACTTGGGTGGAAAGGCTGGGGATTTAGCTCAGTGGTTTTGCCGCCTGCTGAACAAGCGCAAAGACCCAAGTTCAACCTCGGTACCAAAAAAAAAAAACTTGTGTGGAAAGAACTCTGATAGGAAACTCTAGTAAAACAGAAGACAGTAGAGATGAAACCACCACAGACCCCGGCCACAGAAGGTCCCACTGAGCAGGAAGGGAGGGATACAATGAATCAGGAAGTGATTTGGAAACAGCTGGTGAGGTACACTGAAAAAAATGAACAAACTTAGAGCCTCACCTTACACTGTGAATTAAAATACGATTCATTTAAAAGATTAAATATAAAAATGCATGGTAACGCACAAACCTTTATGTCTCAAATCTCTGGATAAAGTACTAAAAGCTTCAAGTACTTAAAAATTAAATACTCAGGCCAATCAGAAACCAAACCAAACATAATCAGTGGAAACAAACACTCATTTAAAATAACTGACAGAGACTCACAGGTGAGGGGGCTCACACCTGTGATCCCAGCACTTGGAAGGCTAAGACAGGAGGATCACTGTGAGGTGGAGGCCAAGCTGAGCTACACAGTTCAAGAGCAGCTTGAACTACATAGCGAGTCCCTGTCTCAAAATAAATAAAATAACTGGCAGATATCCTTAACGCACAGGGTTCACAAGGCATATGCAGATGAAGCAGCAGAACACCCGGCCCCAGAGGCCACAAGGAGGCAGGTGATGAAAGGACAGGCAAGGGGGAGACATCAATAAAGCTACTGACACTGGAAAAAGCACCATTTCACTATTAATTTAATTTCCTGTTTTTCATCTATGAAACCAGCTTGTCATCAAAGCCCAGGAGAAGGGCAAGCTAGAGGGCACAGCAAGAGCAGCCCGGGGCAAAAACTGCACAACACCCACGCCCAGGGCCAGCGACAAGCCCTCTGGGAAGCGTAGAGAGGGGACATGGCTTCGGCAGGAAGCTGCACTCACCCTGCTATTGTTGGGGAAGGCGGAACTTCCCACTCGGGCCTCACTGCTGGTGAAAAACTCCAACTACTGAGCTCTCGCCATGCTTGTTTAACCCATACACTTTAGGAAAAGTTTCAGAAACTGCCACTGCTCCTTCATGCAGTAATGACAGGTAACTTTAGGCGCCTCCAGCACGAAGGAGCAGCAGCACCTCCCTGCCCCGCCTGGCTCTGCCCTGCTCCCAGCTCTGCTGTACCTGGACTCCAACCTCACACAAAGCCCAGGCCAGTCCTGTGAGCTCAGCTTTTCCCAGGACCTCAGGGATATTAAACACATAGCCGTCATCTGCCTCTATACTCGGGTCCAGCCTGCAGCAGGATGCAGGTTAATCCACCAGTGCAAAAGACAGGAGCCCACGGAGCCTGGATGCCTGACAAGTATTCCTGGAAAATGAAAATTCAATCACACAGCTAAGATCCCAACACACATCGTCAGCAAAGGGACGCCACTCTGCTCCTGGTGATATGACTCTGTACACACACAGCATACACTCCTGTGCATGTGTAAAAGCATTGTTTCCACAATTCTGTTCATTCCCAGGCAAGGCAGAGGAGCTGTGTTCTAGCCACAACAGCTCTTTGCTCCTAGCTGTTGTGAATAGGCAGAGAAACTGACCCGTGTTTCTAGCTACACACATGATCACTTTGCAGTACCTTCCACTGAATTTTTGGGTCTCCATTTTGAAGTTTTTGATGCCAATGATCTGGATACTCTGCTGGAAATCTCCACCTTAAAGAAAAGAAAATGAAAAAAGAATTAATGGCTGCATCACACAGCAAAACCACTAGCAGACTTATTTTTTAAACTCTGAGGAAGATCAAGTACTGAAAAGAGCAGCGGCACCCACAGGCTTTAAGAGGGACTCACAGCAACTAAGCACAGTGCAAGCAAGCACTCTGGACCTGAGAGCGTGGGCTGGGAGGAGGGCAACACCCCTGCATCCTGAATGCAGACCTTTGTACAGCTACAGGCCAGCAGCAACCTGCTGAGCACACAGGGAGGAGCCAGCCACTGGATGTTCATGGAAGACCTCACCTCTGCTGCCATTATAGCCATGCACCTGCTCAACAGCGAGACACGCTCCGGGAACTGCGCTGTGTCATGGCAATTGCCTCTGTGCGACTGTTGCCCAGTGCACTTACACAGCCTGAGGTGGCTAGAATGACTCACATGATCCAAGTATCCTTACACAGGCAACACAGCTATGCGATCGTGCAGGACTGTGGCCTACATGTGCCCCGTCACTGACGGAGCTGGGCCATCAAGACTTAACTACTCACATGTGTCTGTAAACACCTCAGAAAGAAAACTCGCCACCTGTGTTCAGCAGTGCACAGACCAGAGGAACCAGCACAGAGATGGCCTCACTGCTCCCCCAGAGAGCAGCCAGGGACCTCAGCAGCCTCCCAGCCCAACTCCGCTGCTCCCACCCACTCCTCGGTGGCTGAGGCTGACCCCCAGGCCGGCCAGGCAGCCACCAGAGACCCCTGAGGGACCCAGACCCAGACCCAGACAGGTTGGCAGAGTGTAGCCGGTCCTCAGCCTGGAGACACCATCCCTCCCGGGCCCACCTGACCACACCTCCCTCCTCTCCCCCAAATGACCAGCTGCCCTTTGTATGCAGTAAACAAAGGAAGCAGCCCATCCATCCTGCCATCTTGCCGGGGCAAACCACTTAAATCACCTCTTCCAGCAAGGTAAGGCGGGACTGCTACGTGTGAGCCCAGGGGACGAGGAGAGGACGGAGTGTTCACCAAAGCAGCTCAGCTGTGAGCAGCGGCTCTCCCAACAGTGCCCACCTCAGAGTTTACCTCTGCTTCCGCTTTGGAGTCTTTGACAGCTTCATCTGACGGCTTCTTAGGCATCTCCCCTGAGCTTGCTGACTGTAAAAAAATTCAAACTTTAGAATTACCAAATCTGTAACATTCAGAAAAGTATAACGTCTAGAAGACACTAAGATCTGGCCCATAACACTGACCCGCTCTGCTCCAGGTCTATCCTGCAGCCTCACCCTGCTTGGACTTCTGACTTCCAAGCAAACAGCAAGAGGTCACTTTCCCTGGAGGACATCAAATGCTCCTGCCTCTCGGCAAACTGTGGGGAATACAATTCCTACAATCCCTGCGATCCCTAGGATCCCTAGGGTCCCTACGTCAAGAGGCACCTTTAGGAAGCACATCCCAGTGAAAGGCTGGAGCTAGGAAGCACAGGACGGAGTGAACATGAATGCCCAGTGCCACCGGGAGGTGCTCTTCCTTCTGACGGCTGGGCCTCTCCTGCTGGGGGTGACACTAGAATGGGGTGGTTCTTTTTCTTTTTGGTACCAGGGATCAAACTCGGAACCTTGCGCCTTCGAGGCAGGCAACAGAGCGACTGAGCTAAATCCCCAGCCCAGGGGCACTTCTCAATAAGCAATCTGCAGGCTTTAGTCAGGAAAGCACCTTCATGAACCTCGAGAATGCTGCAAACATCAATTTACACCTTCAATCAGTTCGGAAAAGACCCATCTGGTAGAAGGGGACAGAGTGCCATCAACGAGACATCAACACTGAAAGTCCTCAAGTTAGCAGCGACTGTACAAACCATCCCCCAATTACCCAGCTAGGTGTCGCCTGGCATCTGCCACCCAAGGCAACTTCGATCCTCCTGACTCCTGCATCCACCTTTGCACTCACCCTCCTCATGGAACCCTGAGGCAGCCGAGCATCACCTGACGATGCTTGTCTGGGCAGGAGAGACAGACACAGGAAGAGCCAGCGACTTGGCCAGAGTGTGGGGTGGGTGTACCAAGGTGGATGGGCCCAGAGCTCAGTCCGCACCAAGCACCTGGAGCTAGGGTCTCGGGAGGCATGTCACGGCTCACAACTCACAACTCGAAGTGCTTCTGACAGAGACCTCGAGGCACCTCCCAGGCTACGGCACTGGAAGAGCTCAAACAGACTCCAGGGAAGATCTGAGCAAGGCTGACCACTCAGTCATGGTCTCCGATCCTTCCAAACAAAACCACCATCCACACCTGGCTCTACGTCCCTGGACACCAGCCTGACCACACTGCTCTCTGGAGTCATCTCTCTGTGCAGACAACTCGTCACTGTGCCGGGACTTCGCTGAACCTAACGGGTGCTGACCTGAGGGCTCCCATAGGCTGTTCTGCTCTGCACTGCCCTCCGAGGCCCGGCACTGTGCTGCCCTGCGCTGCTCTGCTCGAGGGCCGCTTCCCAAAAGCAAGTCTCAGGCAGCTGCAGTGAGGGAGGGGCTGACACTGTGGTGTCTAAAGCTCACTAAGAAGGGCCAGGCTCTTAGAACAAAGACCACAGTGGGTTCTTCCAGGAGGTGCACGGGGGAAGTGGCACCTTACAGGAAAGGCCCCAAAGCTCACGGAACACTAAACTCAGCCCCTAACAAACCACAGCAGTCTTTTGATCCAGCCCCCCTCTCTCCTTGTGACGGGCCTCCACAGAAAGACCAGAGCACAGGCTTCGGGCAGGGGACCCTGTGGAGCCTGCTCCTCTCCCAGCACTCACACTCTGGGACGCACTGCTGCAGAGCAAGGTGGCTGTCCTCAGGGAGAGGGTGGGGGGTCCACCCGGGCCCTGCCCTCACCAGCTGGCCGTGCCAGGCAGCAGGGCACATCAGGAACTGTCCAAACCTCCGGCTCTTCCAGCCACAACTGCAGATGAGAGCTCAGGTCCCACAAGAAGGCCGTCTGGGAAACCAGTTCTGATGGCCAGGATGAGTCCCAAAGCAACTGGTACATTTCAAAAGCACAGTTCGAAACCAAAAGGATTTCCTGGCCAATCCTAAAGTTACCCAGAAACTGCACTGAACAAGAATTACAGCCAACTGAGGTCTTGTGGCACTTACCTGCAAATACCTAAAGGCCTGTGGGAGGCGTCCCAGCCCTTACAGATGGCGATGTCCCTGCTGCACATGGGGCCACACCCGCTCAGACTCAGCCTGTGGCTGGCAACTCTGCTTACAGCGCCCCGACTCCCAACCTCCAGAAACCACACACTCATCGGGCCAGATGAAGACAAGGGCATCTGGGCAAACGAGCTCAAACCCTGGAAAACGTCACTTTTCCTACAAGCCTGGCAGGGAGTCATGTTCTAAATTAGCACCTAATGCTACTTCTCCCAAATTAGATCAGAATTCCATACAAAGAGGCCTCATACACCTCTATCAAGCGGTCGGTTCCACTTAGTGCTTCACGATCTGAAAACTCCTACCATCCCCATGCAATTCCTTCACCAAATTTTTACTGTAGACCTACTATGTGCCTGAAACTCTACAGGGCTGGGAAGATTCAACAGTGGACAGACGAGTGACAAATCCAGCTTCCGCGCAGATGGATGTAACGTGGGAACTGGCTAAACGCTTACTGAGTACACCTTAATAACTGGCTGAACAAAAAACTGCTATTAATGAATTAAGAAAAGAAACCGGTGTCTCCTTGGGTTACTACTCGGAATCCAAAATTGCCATAATTTTAGATTGACATCAAAGAGAACCAGCTTCCTCCACCTTGTAAAAAGGACAGAGGTCACTTCAGAGAGACACCCAGGCTACAGCGCCGGGGCGACTCACCTTCTTCCCTGGCCGGTCCTGCTCGCCGCTCTTCTCCCTGTCGGGGGCCCTGGAGGGCGGCCTGTGCGTGTGCGCTGCGCCTCTGGCTCCCACATGCTCCCGGTCTCCGCCCCTGTCCAGGTCGCGCTCTTGGTCCAGGCCCTGCAATCTCTCCTGCTCCTTCCTGCCCTCGCTCCTCCTCCCTCCCTCCTCTTCCCGGTCCAGCTCTTTGTCCTGGTCCTTGTTGCCTCTGCCCTTGTCCCGCTCCCGGTCCTGCTTGGCCCTGTTTCTGGCTCTCTCTCTCTCCCCTTCTCTGAGCTTGTCCCTCTCAGGGTCTCTATGTCGGTCTCCGTCGCTCTCCTTCATCTTCTCCTTGTCCCTTTCTCTGTCCCTTGGTTTGCTCTCTTCCTTCGGTTCTTCCTTCTGTTTTTCACCTCTGCTTGTACTTTTTTCTTTTACTTCGGAGTTTCTTCTGTCCTAAAAATATACACGCATGAGTTATAAATGATTCCCCCATCACAAACAGACTCACTACTTCACTGTCGAAGATACACAACATGCACGTCACCTCTTTGCCTTTCCGCGTCCTGGACTCCTCTTCCCTCGTGTTCTTATTGTCCAGCTCGTGAGATTTCGAGGTCCGCACAGCCCGCCCTCGAGCATCACCCTTCTCTCCGGCTAAAACCCTCTTCACCGCCTCATCACTGGAGAGCTTGGCATCCAAACGTCCAGAAATTAAATGCAAGGTAGAAATGAGATTTGCACGTGAAACAAATATGAACGTCAGTGTTCAGTGACAGCTCACTGAACAGACTCTACCACGACATTCAGATAAAATGCTAACGGAAAATGTCTTAGCACAGACAAGCACAGCAGCTCTGGATAACCATTACTAATGCTCAGTCGCCAGCAGCAGAGTCCATCCAGGCTAATGACTCCTGCCTCAGCTCTAGCTGCCCGGCGAGTGTGGGCATTTGCGTGAGTCAAGGGCAGCACCACTGAGCCCACAGCTCTGCAGACCCTTCTCTTTCTGACAGGGTCAGAGTCCCAGCTGGAAGGCCCTAAGATAGGGTCTAATCACCTCACACCCTTAGGATAGCTAAAGAGAAAAGAGAAGAGTACAAGACCGATTTACCAGATGAGCCAACGAGTCCCCTTCTGAGTTTAAGCCCCTAAAACTGAAATCTGCTCCTGAAGAGACATGTGTGCACCATGTTCAGAGTAGCATTATTCACAGTAGCTGAAATGCGGACGTGACCCAAGTGTCCAGACAGATGAATGGATAAGCAAAATGTGGTCTGTCCATACAGCGAAATAGTATTAACCCCTAAAGGAGGAGATTCCACCCATGCTACAACACGGATAAACTTTGAGGACATCATGCGAGTGAATTGAGCCAGTCGCAAAAGGACACACATTGCAGCTTATGTGAGGCATCTAGAATAGGCAAACTCAGTGACAGAAAGGAGAAGGGTGGGTCCTGGGACCTGGGAAGGGGGGAGCAGGGGAGTGAGTGTTTAAGACATACAGAAGCTGTTTTGCCAGACGGAAAGCATTCTGGCAACGGCTGCATAGCATCATGAATGTATTTAACATCACTAAACCATACACTTCAAGATGGTTAAGATGGTAAATTTGGCCAAGCATGGTGGCTCACGCCTGTAACTCCAGCTACTAGGGAGGCGGAGGCAGGAAGATCACAAGTTTGAGGCCAGCCTGGGAAACTCAAGAACCTGTCTAGCAAGAACCTTCTCAAAATAGAAGGCTCTAGGAATGTATCTCAATAGTAGAGCACCCCAGGCTCAATCTCCCCTACTTAAGGAAAAAAAGACAGCTAATTTTATGTTATGCAGGTTTTAACACAATAAAAATAAAACTGGGGTAAAAAATATATGATCTAATTCCAACCCCATCGATGCAGAAATTCCCTCTCCAGCGCCCCAACTGCCACGCCGGGTGCTGCAGGGTTACCTTGTTAAGACAGCACTTCCCGATCATCTGCAGCAGCTCATTTGTTCTTTCGGGCTCATGCCCAGCCACGATTCGAGCCGGTTTGGCCAACAAAGGCTCTCCTGAGACCATCACAACCACATCTATGGCCTTCTGTAGGAAGCTAATTTTTGCATCTTTATCCTGAAAAGTTTCCATTGAAAATACCAATGTTAAACTGCTTCAAAGAGTTTGCATTCTTCTCACTGTGATCAATAGGCACAGGATATTTCCTCTTTACATAAAAGGCCATTTTAGGTGCGTGTCAAATTTAGAAATACTGACCTTTTATACTACAACAAAAGCAATTCATTAAAACTTTTAAGCAGGCCGGGGATTTAGCTCAGTGGTTCCGGCACCTGCCTCACAAGCGCCAGGTCCCGAGTTCAATCCCCGGTACCAAAAAACAAAAAACTTTTAAGCAATTCATTACAAATTCATTAAAACAGGTGAAACAGGCCCCAGTCACTGAGCTGCCGCTGAGGACTTAGCTGCCTCCCCCTTGAGCCCCCTGCTTCCTGGCAATCCGTCCCCTCCGCCCGCCTTCTCCCGCAGCCGCCTTCCACAGGCCATTTCCACCGAGGAAAAGGAATCTTATCGTATGTCCGCTATCCAGAACCTCCACTCTTTCGACCCCTTTGCTGATGCAAGTAAGGGTGATGACCTGCTTCCTGCCGGCACTGAGGATTATATCCATATAAGAATCCAACAGAGAAACGGCAGGAAGACCCTTACCACTATCCAAGGGATCGCTGATGACTACGATAAAAAGAAACTGGTAAAGGCGTTTAAGAAGAAATTTGCCTGCAATGGTACTGTAATCGAGCATCCAGAATATGGAGAAGTAATCCAGCCCCAGGGTGACCAACGCAAGAACATATACCAGTTTCTGGTAGAGACTGGACTGGCTAAAGACGATCAGCTGAAGGTTCATGGGTTTTAAGTAATTGTGGCTCATTGAAGCTTAAGTGAGGATTTCCTTGCAATGAGTAGAATATCCGTTCTGTCCCTGGTCACGAGTTTAAAAACCTCACGGCTTGTATAATGTAACCATTTGGGGTCCACTTTCCCTTGGACTAGTGTAACTGCTACATGCAATAAACTGAAAAGAGCCATAAAAAAAAAAAAAAAAAACAGGTGAAACCCTAATATTAAAATTCTGGTTTGGGACGGATACACACAGCATGACAAGTGGCCCAGATGAGGGGATAAATGAGAATGGGTATCTGCCCACTCCTGAGTTCTTCAGCCTCACATCCCCACCGCTCCTCAGCATCTCGATGAGCACAGGCAGCAACTCAGCTCTGAACCACCCGGTGCCTACCTTGACGTTATCTGACTTCATCTCGGAGTCTGTGTAGAGCCCCTTCAGGAAACCAGTCATCCTGATCACCTTGGGAAGACAGAGGCCATCGTGAGCCTCAGGCCACCTTCACTGGCCTCACCCCAACCTCATGCTCAGGGCAGTCAGACTCCGCCCACACCCAGGACTCTACCCACCCACTTGCTCACGTCTGAGGTCTAAGCACCAGGCTCCAGGCCTGGCTTCGGGAGAAGACTCCAAAGCCCAGGCAAGTGCTCTGGAAGCCACAGGAGGGGTGGACCCAGGGGTGCAGGGCCAGCTCCTCAGGAGTACACACTCCCATCCTGGGACCAGAGGCTAACAGAGGAGCTGGAGAGGGGACATTTAGGAATCGCACACCCAACAAGAGGTCCTGTTCAAGGGACCCAAAGTGTGTGGAGGCACTGTGCAGCCACAAGGGACCACAGAGTCAGCCTCAGGACACGAAGTAGGCCAGACTGCTGCTAACTCAGGGCAGGACCACACACACACACACACACACACACACACACACACACACACACACACACTTCACAAGTCCCTGAGGCGAAGTACAGGGAAAGGATTCCAGAAAGATCTGAACCACTCTGCCTGGGTATCTAAAACTGGAAGTTCTTTCTCCTCACTTCTTAGGACAATGGTGTGTTCTGCGTCCCACCCCTTCTGCTCTCTCCCTACCTGACCCTCCCCTCAGGCAACCTGTACCCATGATGACCCCTAAAGCTAGCTTGCACAGGGACCAGTTTCCCACCCCCACACCCAACCAAGGTCTGGGTTCCCTCAGACCGGAGTTTTTCCAAATGTGGCGGGAACAATCAATACAACGGGTAGCAATTGTTTGTTTCCTACAAAACAAAACAGAACAGAAAATACCAGGTAGATGGCACACAAGGACAGGTGTGCCGGTGTGTGTCCAGGGCCAGCTCTAAAGCGTTTACTGTGAGGCAGGTTTTAAAAACAATGCTCCTTCTGTGGAATCAAGCTACAAACTACTTCAGAGCTGTCCTCTGTGTGTGTGTGTGTGTGTGTGTGTGTGTGTGTGTGTGTGTGTGTGTTAGAAGACAGGTGGAGGCAGATGCTAGAGAGGATCCTCCATTTAACATGCCTGGAACTTGCTCACTTGTCCCTGTTGAGCTCTTCTAGGACCCCAACAGTTTAAACTGTGAGCCATAACTGCAAATGACAAGAGACATTAATGTCATGGAAGGGATGCTCAGCTTAACGAAAGCAGCAGTTAGTTACCCACAGCTAAAGCACTGAGATAGAGGCTCAGACACAATATTCAGGGACAGTAAAGACTTCACAGGAGGCTTTCCACTTATCTCCAAAGGCTTTCCAGTGCATCCATCGCTCTGAAACCTTTATTAAGGAGGTGACAAGCAGTCTATTATTACATCAGAACAGAAATTAATTTCAGTATCAGATCAGAAAAGTCTGGAAGAAAAGCAGACCTGCTCCTGCCTGGAGGCACGGATCTCTTTGTACCCCCTGCCCACCTGGCCAACAAGGTCAAGTCCTGCTTGCATGTCGCTCCTCCCTCCCACAAGGTGCTCTCCGACCAACTACAACTGGTCACTGGTCAGCCACCGTGGGTGGTGCACCACCCCGAATACCAACAGGATGAGGACGCCCCCGCCCTCTCCCTCCGTGGACTCTGCATCTCGTGAGGCTCAAGGGACTAACGGAAAATAAAAGTACAGGCTTTGGCAGCCTCAGCTGTAATGGGCCAGGCTCCCACGTGGACTAATTCTTCCTTGCTCACTCTGAAGCAGGGGCACCGGCCTACTTCCCAGGCAATGGTGACACAGCACACCAAGCCCCATCCAGGACTCGCTGGGATGAGGCCACCATCGATGCAGCTCCTTGGGACGTGCACTTTTAAGCACAACAGAGTCTACAACACAGAGGCACAACCAAAAGAGCACATATTGCAAGCTACAGCAGGATACCTGAAATGACTCCAGGGAAATCTATGGAAGAATAAGTCACCTAACCTCTAAAAGAGTGAGAAACAATTCAGGTGTGATGGCATAGGCCTCTAATCCCAACTAATCTGGAGGCTGGGCAGGACGACTGCCAAATTTAAGGCCAGCCCGGGCAACATAGTAGATCAATGGTAGATCACTTGCCTAGCACGCACAAGGCCCCATGTTCAGTCTTCAGTATTGAAAAAAAAATGTTATAGAGCGAGAAAGCTCGAGAACCAACACTGGGTGAGAGCATGAGCCCCGGAAGCTTGCACGGTCAGCCTGGCTCCTAGGTCCCCAAGGGCACCGAGTTCCCGAGGGTCTTCAGGTGCACCATGGAAATGCCCCGCCCCTCGGGCGACAGCGCTGAGCTGCCAGGAGCCTGACAGGTTCTAGTCCACAGGGATGTGGCTGAGCGGTTTCTATGTACCTTCCCCAGCAGCTCGCCAAGATACCGAAGAAACAGGCTTCCCTCTGTGACTACGGAGTCCGCCCTCCTCGAGCGGGATGTCACACAGACAATTCATCTCAAGTCAGGCGGGCTGTGCGGTTCATCAACAAATGTCACTGCATTTTTATAGCTTTCCTTCCAGGTTCCCCTACAGCCGATATATTCACCTATGTGTATCGATTAAGCCCAAACCGTGGTGAGCGCTGCACCCATCAGAGGAGGGAGCCTAAAAAGAATTCCATTCTCCCAGGACGTGCGGAGCGCGACGGCTGCAGGGTGACCAGGAGGGGTGTCAGGGGGAGAGCAAGGACAAGCCCAGAACCAGCTCTGCCGGCAGAGTCCAAGGGCTCTGAAGAGGCGTCGGGTGGGTGGGAAGGAAACAGACGGCACCTGAAGGGCCGGAGCCTCCCCGGCTGGGTAGGCCGGGGCCTGGGGCACCGCAGAATTGGGCCCACGACCGCCGCGGGCTGCCGGTCCCCCGGCCCGGGGTGCCTGACTAGGCTCCGCCCCGCACTCGGCCCGGACCCCGGCCCTGACGCGAGCCCAGCGCCGGCGGCGCGCACCTCCGTGATGATGTCGTGCAGGTAGCGGAACGGCGGCTTGCTCAGCAGCTTCTCGGTCAGCGGCGGCCTCCGGATCACCTTGCCCAGCGCCTCCTGCGTCCGCCGCACCACGGCCGCGTTCATGGCGGCGCCGCTGCCCGGCGGCCTGCGCCCCTCAGCTGCCCCGCCGCGCTCCCGCCAGGCCAACGGGTCCCCGATCCCCGCCCCAGGTCCGCGCCGTGCCCGGAGCCCATCCCACAGTGCACCGCGGCCCGCACGGCGCCTGCGCGGCGGCGGCTCGGTCACCGGGGCTGCGCGGCCTTAGCAACGGACTCCCTGCCAGGTGGAAACCTACGGCTCGGCGCCTTGCAGGGGAAGCCTGGGGACCGGCTAAGATGGGGTGGCTCCCATTGTTTGTGCCCGTGGCACAGCGTCAAGGACTTCGTTAGGCCCTGGCTCGTGGGGCAGGGCCTGCACTAAGCTAACCCAGAGACGCAGAATGGAAACGCCCTTTCCTGTGGGGCTTAGCCTGGCTGCTTGGCTGGTAGCTTGTTTTCCCTGAGATTTATTTCTCTTCCTGTAAAGCAGGAATAATAACTAGCCAGGACAGTGAGGGCGAAATGGTGTCACCAAGACAAAGCCCCATCCCTGCCCCAGGTGTCTGGGATTCTGTCCCACCTGTCTTCTGTCCCTCACACGCAGTGCTGCTGAAACCCTTTCGACAGTTTGGAAGCTTCGTGGTCTGCTTTTCATTCTTCTAATAAATGCCGTTACTGTATTTTAATTTGAATTCATATTTTACCAGATTCAGCCCTCTTTTTTTTTTTTTTTTTGGTACTGGGGATCAAACTCGGGACCCTGTGCTTGCGAGGCAGGCAGTGGAACCACTGGGCTAAATCCCCACCCCTCAGCCCTCTTCATTCTTGATGTAGATCTAAATTTCCTTGTGGTATTAGACCTGCCTGTCTGAAGAACTTCCTTTAGTACTTCCTTTTGCACAGGAGGCGATGAATGCTCTCGTCCTTCGTCTGAAAGCCTTTATTGCACCGTATGTTGAAGGAATTTACCCTCCTTGAGTGGGGAAAAGGTATAGAGACAACCAATCTCAACCAATCTCTTATCAATAAACACAGAACTGTGTTCTTAACTTCTTTGCAGGTCCCCTACCACCACCTCCAATAAATATTTATTAAATAGAAGTATAGAATTCTGGCTGGACTTTTTTTTCTTTCAATATTTTGAGGATGACATCCATTGTCTTCTGGCTTCCATAGTTTCTGAATGAAGTCTTCTGTAATTCTTATCTTTGTTCTTCTGTCTGTTTCTGCCTGCCTTCAAGATTTTCTTTATATCATTGGTTTACCAGAAGTTTCCCCATGATATGTTTAGTTATGAAGTTAAATTAGGTATGAGTTATGTTTTTGTTCATCTCTTTTTTTTGAGACAGAGCCTCACTGTTTTGCCCAGGGTGGCCTTAAACTGGCAACACCCCTGCCTTAGCCTCCTGAGAGCCTGGGATAACAAGCAACTGGAGGGATTATTTTAAACTAAAATTTATATCTGATTATTATGCAATAAAATTCACACATTTTAAGGGTGCAGGTTGATGCATTTTATTAATTATATACAATTATGTTACAATCACCCGTTCAACGTATGGACTAGTTCCTGCAGCCTAACACGTATCTTCTTGCTCATTGGCATTCCATCTCCTCCCTAAGCTTTAACCCAGGCAAAGACTGATCTGTATTCTGTCATAATTTCACCTTTTCTAGAGTTGCATACAAATGGAAATATATAGTACATAGCCTTGTAGTTTATCTTTTCTTGTATAATGTCTTTGGGATTGTCTTAGTTACTTTCTCATTGCTGAGACACAATACCTGGCACTCACATCTTAAAGGGTAAGAGGTTTATTTTGGCTCTCAGTCCATAGTTGGCTGGCTATGAGGAGGGCAGCGTGGCAGAGGAGAAGTGCTCATGGCATTGAGACAAGAAGCAGAGAGAGGGACCAAGCAAGAAGGGATGGAGGCCAGGGATTTAGCTCAGTGGTTCCACTGCCTGCCTCGAAAGCACAAGGTCCAGAGTTCAATCCCTGGTACCAAAAAAAAAAAAGAAGGCGGGGAGGTAGACCCTTCAAGACCATGCCCCCAGTGACCACCTCCTTTAACCAGGCTCCACCTCCCAAATCCCATTTAGTTATAAACCTATCAGAGGACCAATGCACCGATGAGTGTCACACCCCCATGACCAAGTCACCTCCCAAAAGCCTCACCTATGAGCACATGAGGCTTTGGGGGACATCTAGCTATAAACCATGTTCCTTATATTACGAGTCCATTCCTTTCTGTAGCTGTGTAGTAGTTCACATACAATTTGTTTATCTATTTACCTTAATGGACATTTGGGTTCCTTTCATGTTTTTATTATTTATGAATAATGCTGCTATGACCATTCACATACAAATTTTTGTGTGGACATAGGTTTTCATTTCTCCTGAATTCTAATTTCTGGGTTGTAGGATAGGAATGTGTTTAGCTTTACAAGATACAACCATGATGTTTTCAAAGTGGTGCACTGTTATTCCCACCAGGAATGTATGGAATTCCCAGATTCTCCATATCCTTGCCAATATCTGATATTGTCAGTGTTTTAACTTCAGGTATTCTAGTGGGTTCATAATAGCATCTTGTTATAGTTGTAATTAACATTTCTCTAGTGATTAGTGATTTTGAGTATCATATCCTGTACTTACTGGATATTCATATGTCTTCAGTGAAGATAGCCTGTAAAATGTCATTGAAGTATTTACTGAATCAGTGAAATGTACAGGATACAGTTGAGGTACCTGAGATTGAATGGGGACCACACACCTCTAGAAAGCAACATCTCTGCTGTCCACTGCTCCTGAGGACATCACTCACCATGCCACTGCCTGCACGTAGGACCATGTAAGACATGATCACCTAGAAAGAGGCCAGCTGTCTGTGGCAGGGTCAGCCTCCAGCATCCTTCCCTACTTCACCCTGCATGTGCAGCAATGTATGAAACTTGACCCAGAGGCTGGGAGCAACGTAAGAGAAGGACAACCCACGAGGACAGGAATTTAACACTCCCTCCAGAGAATCATCCTGTAGACCATGGGGATAAAGCATCTAAGGACCTGTGCACTCAGAGGGCTTCTAACCTGACTGACCTCCACTCCTAACCCTGCCCCTAAGTCCACCCTCTTGGCCAGAGACCTCAAACCTTTGACCCCTGCTCTGTCAAATCTTCCTGACCTTCTGGGAACCACCCTCCATCACTGCAGCCTTGGTGTCTCTCACCACCCCTTCTTTACCACACTGTATTTACCAGAGGCTGGGTTCTCCAGTGCAGACCACACCCCAAAGGCCTCAGCAGGACAGTCCACTGAGCCATGTGGCACTTCAGCCCCCTGGAAAAGTCCAGGATGGTGGTCACTGAAGCAGGCTCCTTCCAGAGCTCTCTCACTCCCATCATCCTCCTGATCACATACAATATATCCTTGCACATACATTTCTTTCTTCCTGAAAATAAGTATTAATTCTTAGGAGTCCATCAAGCCCCATAAAGAAGAATAAAATAGTTTCCCAACTGCCACATCATTTCCAAACACCCCCACCCAGTGAAACTCATGCTTCCCAGTAAAATGGAGAACTCTTAGCTCCCTGCAGTCCTTCCTCCCCCACTCCCTGCCCAACACCTGAGCCCACTCATGAGCCCCCACCCAAATTTTTTCAAAAGGGAGGGGCATGATAAGAGTGTAATTCTTCTCCACGGCTGGCCTGTAGCTCACTAAGGCTGGCCCCGGGCTGGAAATGACAGAGCTCTTAGATGGAACACGCAGTCTCCTGCCCCTTGGGGTGTTGAAGAAAGGGCTATCCTCTTCACAGGGTAGACAGGTGGAGATGCCCAGGTACGCTACTCCACATGCTGCTGCCGCTTCTGAGATCTGGGGCTCCTCACAAAGTGGAAGAAGCTGGGTCAGGATGCCTCCTGGATCTGTCCACCTTCTGGCCACCCAGGGAGCCTGAAATTCCTTTAAGAGTCCCCTTACTTCAGCCCTGGCTGGGGTTGGCCTGGGGGTGAGGAGAGCTCAGACCCTAAGTGTCCTTCTGAACACTGTTCCCAAGAGGAGAGGAGACACACCCATCTCCTGCCCCAGATAGTTCCCACCCGGCAGAACCCTCCTCGGGCACGGGGCTGAGGGAGAGCCATGGCCAGCAACTTGCTTGTCTGAGAGGCCAGCCTGGGTGCTGGGCACATAGGTGTGACATGAAGGATCCTCTGGTCCCCAGGAACCAGGCAAGGAGTCCTGACTCTGACAAAGAGCCCTGGAAGAGGGGCTTCCCCGTGGAGGGGTCAGAGGCCACCCTGGGGCCTGCGATGCCGGGGACCAGCAGGTGGGGGCCACTAGCCTACATTACCCTGAGCTTCCCAATCATGAAAGCATTGGAGAAAAGGGCAGAGAACATCCAAAAGAGTCACTCATACAAAAGATAATTGATTAAATAACTATAGAAAGTGACAGCAAAGAAAACGCTGGACACATAAAAGGCTGCAGGAGGTACTTTTGAAATGGACAGTTTCTGAATGAATAAATGAGTGAATGGGGTGACTGTAGCTGTGCCTCACCCAGGAAAGAGCGTACCACACAGCAAGGTGGCTTCCAGCCCTGCCTGCCTTGCTGGGAGCAAACATTCCCTGAGACAAAGGCTGGGAAGGCTGAGTGGGCCCGGCCCTGAGCCACATCTGCCCAGAGCCTGGGATGTGGGTCAGGCTTGGAGAAGGGCGGAGCACAGGAGCCAGGTTGAAGGAGAAGCCCCGGCCCGGGCTGGCTGGAGGCTGGATGGCTGGAGCTGCCCAGGACCGTACGAGATGCACACTTGGACTTGATTTTCAGACACACAAAGCAATTTGTAGTATAAATATATCCCCAGCAACATGTGGGGCATTCATATTTAGAAATATTTCTCATTTTTACTCGAAATGCAAACATAACTAGGCATCCCGTGTGTTTACCTGTGAAGTCCACCCAAGGAGCAATTGTCCTTGGGGCAGCAGGCAGCTGGAGCAGGCCCAGGAGCCCCAGCAGAAGCAGGTTCCTCCCCCAAGCGGCCAGCCTTCTCTGTGACTGCGGCACCTTGCAAGTCCTCACCTTGCCCAAACCCAGCTCCAATACCCTCGCCTATCACTGAGTTTCATTTCTGTGGTGAGCAAG